AACTGTTTATATTAGCTTAGGTTAAATAAATAATATTAATAATATGATAAAAGTACATTCTCGAGCAGATCACAAGTAGCTTGTGTGCAATGTTATTTGATAGCGTAATATGAGCTACATGTTTGCCAAGTAATTTACAATGTATAATGATGCAAATAGCAGTTAGACAGGGATCAAAGGGCAATAAAATGATAAATAAAGTGATGTGTACTGTTGTGAATGTAAAGCTATTTAGGAGATTCATTTTGATGTTTCTTTTTGGTGAATACAAGGTCAGTCAAATTGACCAACCTTGTATAAAGTTAGGGTAGAGAAAATAATAGATAAAATATAAAAGTTAACTAGAAAAAAAGTCTGAAATTTATTTAGGAGGTTTTAGAGATTATGCAAATAAAATTTTAGATTTTTGAGATGAAGAAAAGTATTACTAAACTTTATATAGAAATCACTTAACCCTCAGACTTGTATATAGTAATACTATATATATTCACAGACAAATATTTAGTAAAAATGCTTCATTAAAAAATCTGATTTTCTGTGTACAAAACACTTGTAATGCTTACTGAAAGTCTACCAAATTTTGTGAAGATACACAAAGTGTATTAAAAGTTTTAGTGTGGAAACTATAACAAAAAAGTGGTTATTAGTTTGGGTGATTTGACCAACCTTATAGTAAGAGAGTTAGTCCATGAGCCAAGCCACTTTGTTATTACCACTTGATGGGGCAAAGCATGTGGGGTATCACGTTGTTCTTTTGGGGATATGGAATTCACTTATACTTGATAGATTTTTCAGATTGGCAGCTGAAGTGTATTATTAACTCACTTTTTTACAGACTTAGTTGATTTGAGTGACTTTATAACAAGCACAAAAAATCACAAAATAGATCTAAATTACCCTTTTTTCCAGTGAGACTGCAGATCGTAACTTACGTCTCCTAGCCTAGCAGTTTACATCTGTTTCTATTTAATTTTATTGTTTTATTGCGCTTTGAACAGTGTTTAAATATAATCCTGTGATACGTTTTGTAACTCGCCTGACGAACGTGTAGCTGAAGTTCCCATATTGAATGATGTAGTGCATGATCTACTTGCAAGCATATCTCATTGAGAAATATTTTTCAAACTTAATAGGATTCTAATTTTTGGATGTTAGTTACTTTTATAATAATAAAAAAAATGTGCATGAAAAAACAATTAGTACTTACATTTGACTTCTTGTTTTTTGCTGTCGACCCTCAGAAGAAACTTAAGCCTACTTTATTTGTGATGATGGTACTAGTACATTTAAATAATTTTTATCTCTTTCAAATATGCATTTAAGAGCACAAAATAATAGCATATACAAAACAAACAATGCCCTATAACTATTATAACTTAACTAGTTTTTCTAAGACATAAAGTGTCTTCAAATAATTTCTTTAGATACTTGGTTTGAACTTGGCATCAGTAACTTCCAATCTACAGGTGAAATAACTAAAAATCTATACTGAGAACAAGGTAGCATTGTACGCCATTAAGTAAAGTAAACTCTGTCTATCTGTTGGTTATTAATGATGCAGTATAAAATGTCAGTGAGAATTATTGACAATTTGTGAATGAGAAGATGTGATAGGTGGTTCTGACTTTCTAATTTATATTTCCATAAACAAAGGAGATTGAAGGCTATAAAAGTTAGACTATGCCGTAATTATATCTTTACTACAATGAGTAATTTATATTAAACTCCGGGCGTTAGAGAGGGTTGATGAAAAAATAGAAAATTAGCAAGTGGAGCAAACATATGTTGTGATACGTATACAAGGAGAGATTGAACAATTACTTACATATTTCCTTTTGAAATTAAGAAATTAAAACTTGTATAATATTGAAATTTGATTTATCAACTGTGCTTTGATGTCAAGCTTATTCCTATACATTGATGATAAAATAGTTTAATCAAATTTTAAATGTAACTGTAAAACATTTTGACACATGCACTTTGACTTACCTGTATCAAGAGGGTTAAAGAAACAAAGTTTTAACCCTCTTCATTCACAAAAGTTCTGTTTTTGAGGGCTGACTGACATGACTTCACTTCAGGGTTTGTATCAATCTAAAGTTGTCATTGTGGCACAAAGTAAAATGCTGAGATGCAGGATATCATAGCTGATCTCTGACTGTTCTTTTAATAGTTCTTTTAGGAAGGTGCAGAAAGCAAAAGGGTCAATTTTGTGTTTGATATCTATAAATACATTTCAATTAAAAATGCTGAAAGGGAGGCAAGAGCAGATTTTGTAAGGGTGATCATCTACAAGAAAATTTTCTATGGAAAATGAGTCAGTAAATGGAGAAACTTTCTGAAAGGTTCCAAAACTAAAAACAACCTGATCCAATTCATGGTCAGTCAATGACAAGTGCAAGATAACCAAGCTTAGCTAAAGAGAGAGAGAGAGGTAAGATATTGTGACATATGGAAAAGAATGTTCTTAGCTGACAGAGAAGTTGTTGAGGAAGTACAGGAGTTGAAATCCACTCAAGAAAGGACAGATACCAGAATTCTGCTTCATGCTACTCCAGATAACACTGACACATGATTTCCAACTCCCCTGTCTTGCATTCTACTTGAGGTTACCTGTTTACATATTTCGAAAGTCAAGAAAAGCAACTAGGACCAAGTACACGGAAATAAGCAAAGTTAAGAAATTATATGGTTAAGAAACATTTGAGGCTTTATTGGAAATGCATGCATTTACTGGGTATGAAAGCATTAGTACTTTCGCTTGAAAAGGGAAGTTTCAGCTTTCAAAGTAGCAAGTTGCAGGAAAAGGTATTGGTATATGTTCACAGATCTAGTATCAGAATGAAATGTTTCTGCTAAGTTATTTGACAACCTTCAAACATTTATATGCGAACTCTGTGGTTGTGAGAATGGAACAACAAATGTGAATATCTCAGATTCTACATGTTCTGTGCAGAGAAGAGTGTTTCAACTTCTGCCATGCAAAGGCTGTTTGAACAAAAATGTCTTATGTCTATGCTCTCAAACTGGAATGAAGAATAATATGGAAAAACTTTCCAACAAATCCAAGTGCTGTGGGCATGGGGTATAAACTAAAAGAACATGATGAGCAAGGTATTCTAATATTTGACTGGATGGATGGAGAACTAGCACTGTAATCTGTCATGGAATTGTTAATATGGAAAACTTTCCAACAAATCCAAGTGCTGTGGGCATGGGGTATAAACTAAAAGAACATGATGAGCAAGGTATTCTAATATTTGACTGGATGGATGGAGAACTAGCACTGTAATCTGTGATGGAATTGTTAATATGCAAATACTTTCATGCATGCACTACTCCTGGCTGCCAGTGTATCACTAATGGGATGCTTTCCACTAATATGTACAAGTTGAAAACCTGCACCTGACTGTTAGTGTGTATCTAATGGATGCTGTCATGTTCTAGCTTAATTACCTGCAGTAATTAACCTCAAAAGGAACGGGACCTCGTAGTAGTAAAAAAGAGATGAAGACAATTTTTATTTTTAATAAAAAGTTACATTTGAAAAAAACATATGTAGTTAGTAGCAAAGACGTACTAGTTGAAAAACTATAAATTGGATTCAACATAACAATACACTAGAATAGTAGAACCATTGAAGTTGTAGTTTAATTATAAACAAATCTAGGCTATATTGCTGAAGTTGTTTACAGTTTAGGTTTTTTTTTATTTGGCTATACAGTAATATATATACTAGTTATTAATGTAATTAATGTTTCAATCTAAATATTACAAGCAATATAATTTATATACTTTTGATGAATTCTATTAGTATGTATTTTCCTCCAGATATACATCATGTATAGCATTGTTTGTGACATTTGAAAGATAACTATGAATATTTTATGTCTTGATCTGTCATAAATTAACCATCATCTATATATTACAGGTTTTACTGTTGTAGACTAGATCAAATAAATGAGACTTAGAGGCATAAATAAATGCCTAGTTGTGATTTTATTTCAATAAATGTATTTTAGGGTACTTCTTGTCCTGCATGTTTTACTACAAGACAGCTGCCAGTTAGGAAAGTCTATCAGTTGGATATATAATCTAGAGATGTTAAGCTTTCAAATGATATATAATAGATTTTCTCCCACCAACCTATATTCATAACCCCAAAATTTGGGTTTGGCCCACAAACTATATATGAGCTATAGTTATTGTATTCATTTTAGCTGCCGTAATGTTAAACATGGGTTTGTTCAAACACAACTATTCCTTTATAGGTATTTATGTGTTTAATTTCCTCTCTTTGCTTCAACAGACAGCTGTTGTTGTGTCGAGTAACCTTGGGTAAGTCCTTTCTGCAGTTCAGTGCTATGAAGATGGCCCACGCTCCTCCTGGCCACCACTCTGTTGTCGGCCGACCCAGCGTTGGAGGTCTGTCTTACCCAGAATATGTAGTTTACAGAGGAGAACAGGTAGGTTAGTGCGAAACAACCGATGCACATCACTGTTAATTGTTAATAAATGGTGAAGATTCATAAATTTAAATCATCCTGTTATATACGTTGTTTGAAAAGTCATAAGAAGCCTCAAGTGCAATTGAGAGAACAGTGAATGCTCATATTGAATTTCCTTCAGCACCAACATGTTATATATGTTCAAATATTTTTTCTCAACAGTTATGCACCATATTTTATTACTAACCCTTTGTATCTGATGGTAGAAACTGTGATTCTTCCTCATAAGAGGCAAGAAGTTTTCTTTGAGTGAGAGTTGAAAATTTTTAAGCCATGGTCTATACTTAAAATTATCTTTGCTGATGTTTTTTTATGCATTCCTCTTAATAAGTTTAGTGTGAATTTCAAATCACAATTGTTTAATATAAGCATTTCATATCAATCTTTTGTGAGTCACAAGTTACTCCCTGGGAGCCCTTTTGTTTTGCATGGGAACTTGACAGCTGGGCTAAACCTGTAACAGATAAAACCTAATTTTGTTGTGGAAAATGCTGAGGTTGACTAAGCAATGAAATTTATTGGGCCTGATAATATTGATTACAATAATATGATTATACAGCATAATTATTCATTTTTGTGATATTTTTATCCTGTTTATATTAATAGTAATAAAATTTAAATGAAAAACAACTGGGATATGCATAAATCTTATTGTGATTCTGAAAAGAAAGTTTTACTACCTCTTGCTTCTTGTAACTAATCAAAAACATGCAATTCTATGGTTTTAGAGATAATTTTTGTTGTTCTTAAAGTGTTATGAAGGTTTTTCACAAGACTTATTTTGACTTGTTAAACAAATTATGATTTTCCAATGAGACAAAATTGTGCATTCTGATTGTTCTCTATCATTAATCACAATATATATTTACCTTTATTTCTGGTTACAGGCTTATCCTGAATACCTGATAATCTACCAGATAATGAGACCAGAATCAGAAACTCCTGCAGTGCCACCAGGATCATCCTGAGATGTTTCTGTCATATGTTTTCATACAAGGATTAAAGATATTTGGTATACTGAAAAAATTAATCATGTCACTGTGTACCATATCTACTCTTCTCAAACAAGAATTAACCATTCCTCTGGTCTGGTCTTATTAGTGTTTACAACAACTTAAATTATGCTAAAAGAATCAGCTGTTCTTCTTGAGTTGGTCCTGCTAGTTTTACACCAACTGAAGTTGTGCTACAAGAATCAGTTGTTTTTGAGTTCACCTTTTGTTTTACACCAGTATCAGCATACTTTTTTCTTCTAGCCTAGTGTTTTCAGTGCTTACATCAACTCAAGTTGTCATAACAGAATCAACTGTTTCTACTAAGTTAACCCTACCTAGTGTTTAAACCAACTGAAATTGAACACCTGTTCCTCCTGCACAAGCCCTACCTAATGCTTACAACAACTAAAGTTGCTGTAACAGAACCAACTGTTCCTCCTGAGTTAGTCCTAGTGTTTACATCAACTGAAGTTGTCATACCAGAATCAACATATTATTCATCCTGTTCTTATTTTAACAGTTATTGTATTAGCTAAGATTTGTAATTTCAATGACTTTTGCTCTACTTTATTGTCTTTTCTATCATCATTATTCATAAATTTGAAACTCTTGAAACATTTTATATAGTTGCTCCTGATGTCAGCTGTGACCATTACCATTTATAATCTTTCAGTGTGTAACATTTTGTTTCTCATTTTGTAATAAGAGTTAATTCAGAATCAGTGGTACTACATAAGAAAGACTTTATCTGCCATAGCCTCTTTTCTTTGATGCTGGAATTAATTGGCTTTCTTTGTATATTATACTATTGTATAGTGATGATTGAAAGTGAGCTTAAATTATTCCATATTAGAAATACATGAAGAACTGAGCACAAACAAAAGAGAAAGAAAATAATTTTTTGATTGAAGAAAAATGAATGTTTTTGTTTGGAGTCTTTTTTGGATGATTGAAAAGTTAATTTTTCTACCTGCTGGGTAGCTAGCAGTGTGTTTCAGTCTCCCATGAAATGTATCAAAGGATGTGCCATGTGTTAGAAATGTTGGGTTTAAAATTAGAATATTTACAGAAATTAACTTTGTAAATGGACCCCATAAAACAGGAGGAAAGGTTGCATTAAATCACAAAAGTACAGCAGGTATAGCTGTAAAAAGTGATTACAGACCATTTTGAGAGAGACTATAACTGCAAGATGATAATCTAATTTGAGGTGTTGATATTTTTTATTTTAATGTTGTGTTGACAGCTGCAAACTTTGAATTTCTCTGTTTATCAAATATAGCATCTTATTCACATTTTTACTTATTCTATTTTTCTCTTTGTCTTGTCTAAGATTTGAGGTATTTACACATTATATATTTTCGTATTTGTATTGTTTTGCTTTGTTTTTGTTTTTTTTTTAGAAAAATGTGAATTTATTGTAAATAAGGATCAGATGTTGTTGAAAGAGTGTATTTGTGAGAGAAATGTTTTTCAGATTATTATGTTATTAATTAGGAAGTTGATAAGATAATCTGTCATAGAAACTGGATAGAATAACTTCTACAAGCAATGTTTTATAAAAAATACACATACAAAATATTGATTAAAAAACTACTTTCAGAAACCATAGCTAACCATAGAACCCACCTATAGCCAACATTCAAATGATTCTTGATTAAAAAAGTAATTGTCAATTGCCACTGATTAGTGGAGAATCAATTTTTAGATTAGTTTAAAAAACCCAACTTCAGATAACATCACTGTTATGTTAACTAAGGTATACCTATAACATCACACATCTGTAAAACCCACCTTCAGATAACATCGATGTTAACTAAGGTATACCTATAACATCACACATCTGTAAAACCCACCTTCAGATAACATTACTGTTATGTTAACTAAGGTATGCCTATAACATCACACATCTGTAAAACCCACCTTCAGATAACATCGCTGTTATGTTAACTAAGGTATACCTATAACATCACACATCTGTAAAACCCACCTTCAGATAACATTACTGTTATGTTAACTAAGATATACCTATAACATCGCACATCTGTAAAAACCTCTTTCAGATAACATTGCTTTTTAAAGAATCCGGATACAGGTAACATTTAGTTTATAGCATTGCTTCTTAAAGAATCCATATTTAGGTAACTTTGCTATTTAAAGAACTTGTATATGGATAACATTATTGGTTTAAAAACTTGCATGTAGATAATATTACTGGTTAAAAAACCAATCTTGAAACAACTTTGCTATTTAAAGAACTTATATATGGATAACATTATTGGTTTAAAAACTTGCATGTAGATAATATTACTGGTTAAAAAAACCAATCTTGAAACAACTTTGCTATTTAAAGAACTTATATGTGGATAACATTACTGGTTTAAAAACTTGCATGTAGATAGTGTTACTGGTTAAAGAACCAAACTTGAGAAAACTTAAAAGCCTGTAAAGACAAAGTTATTGGTTTACAAACACGTATAAAGATAACCTTGACATTTAAAAAGACAAATTAAAACTACTGTTTAAAGAATAAAAAAAGTTAAAGAGTATTGCTAGTTAAATAATCTACTTTTAAGTATTATTGCTAACTAAAGGACCTACTTTATACAATATAATTGTGAAAAATGTATTTTTAGATGATATTGCTTTAAAAAAAAAAAGAGGATCTTTATATTACAATGCTGATTTAATAACCCCCTTTAAATTATCTTTTAGTGGTAATAGAACCAACTTTTAGATAATCATATCAAATGAATATTCTCTTGACCGTAACATATTTGACTAAAAGAACAAACCTTTAGATAACTGCCCAAGATGAGAAAGATTTCATTATTGCTTGAAAACAACCAAAAGATTTAGCTCACAATTTTCAGTGAAAAATTTAGCACAGAGTATCTGATTGAATACGAAGAAAATGTTTTTATACTTTCAGTGTTGATAAGTGATCCAGGCTTTAAAAATAAGGTTTTAGGAGTAATTTTTTGGCTTATATACTGCACACTGTTGTTAAGTTTTCTGTCACTGATTTTACTGTCAGTCATTATAGTTCCACATTAATATTAATTTGGCACTCATGGAAGAAAGCAGTGCAATTGATAATGTTTACCTAAACTTATATGTGAGGAATTAAAGTGTGATGTATATTTTTATGTAAAGAATCTTAATCTATTAAGAGTGATAGATACAGGCTCTTGAAACTTGGACACAAAACATTTAAAAAGGGAGTTTATCCTCAAGTTTAGAGAAGTAGATGAAAAGTTTCAGGTATAGAAATCCATTTTCTTTAAAAGCTAACTTGTCCATACTTGTATCTGCCTTGGAAAACTGAATGGTACTTAAAAGTTCATTCATGTTGCTCAGAGAAAAGAAAAAAAATACCCATTGTTGTCCCCAGTCTTTCTTTTAATGTTGGATATTTTGGAAAAAATGTCCATTGTTGTGATGTTGACTATAAATTGTATTTTTTGTGTTCCAAAATATGTAAATATTTCTGAGGATATAGATACCCATTTTCTTCCTTACTTTGTTGTGAATAAAAGAAGAAAAACAAAAGGTTAAAAGCAATTATTTGTTTTCTTTTTTTTTTCTCTAATAATGCAAAACATTAGACACTATTACTAATTTGTTAACAAAAAATTGTAACATAATGTAATTTCAATTATTTTCTTTTCCACACAATTAACAAATGACTAGGCATAACTTAATTCTATGAAATATCATCTAAATCTTACTTGTACAACTACCCTTATAAACAAGATATGCTTTTTTTATATAATTATTCAGAAAGAATGAAAATAAGAGATATTTACAAATCCAAAGTCCTGTTCCATTTGTTTTCCACAAGTAAATGAATTCCACAATTTTACCAGTATAGTTTTTATTTCATTAAGACTACAATTGATTTACAAACTCCTTATAAAAAATTGAAATATTTTTGTTTTTGTTTTAGTGATGCTTTAAATGACCAACCCACTGTAGGAAGATTAGGTTAAATAATGAGTTTTGTTATAGTATGTTTTTTAGCCACGTGACTTCCGCTGTCGTAACAATACGTTTTGGTAGTACCTTATCCAACACTATAAATGTTCTAGCCTATACAGAATTCCAATCAATTTTAGAAATTGATCAGTCTAGAAACATATTTCATATCTAAGAAGCTATGAAGACTTTAGAAATTTATTCAGTATTTCACAAAATTTGTATACGTGTGTGTTTGCCAGTACTCAACTACCTGATCATGCAGAAAAACAATTGTACATCGTCAATCTGGAACCAAGTCATAAACTTGGTAGTCATTTGGTCTGCATTTACTTTGATTGAGATGAGAAAGGAGAATATTTTGATCCATTAGGACAGGCTCCACATAATTTCCACATGGAAAAATTCATCAAGAAGAACTGTCCAATGTGGACTTAACAAAAAAGTACTGCAAGGACCATATTCGTCTGTGTAGACAATATTGTATATATTATGCTTATTATCGTTGTCGACATGTGTCCAAAGAAAAGGTCTTATCTAAATTTGGATCCCACAAAGATGTTAATGATATGTTTGTTCATTATTTTGTAGCAAAACATTTTCACGTAAATACGTCCTTAATAGATATGTCTTTTACGTAAATCAGATTGCAAAATCTTCATTCTGAGGAAATTAATAAAATGTTAAAAGAAATATTGTATCTAGAACATATTTCTATGTTAAATCCATAATAGTTTTACATGTAACTGAATCTTGTAATTGTTGACACGTTGAAACAATGAGCTCATCATCCTCCATTTATAGAAACACTACAATTAGTAATTACTTATATGGATAAAGACAAAATAGTAAAACAATAGGATTGTCGTACGTTTGCATGTTAAATAAGCGTCCTTTTCAGGACGATAAGTGATTTACATATAAAAGGTCAGGAAATGTAAAAAGCATGATTAAATATAGAACTAATGAATTAGTGAATTGTTTTATACATAATTAATTTTATAACATAATTAAGTATAGCTATTGATTACATGCTGAGACATCTATGATGAGATCATCATGATTGTGGTTCTACTCGTGGAACTATGACTTCATTGTCTCGGGTGACATATTTTTTTGTCATGGTAGCCTAGCAAAGTGCTCTCTGGCGCCACTTCATGGAACTATGGCATCATCGTCTCTGCCCCTCCCCTCCCTATTGCCTGGTGACCCCCACTGAGGTGAATGATTTGGATGGTGGTGTAATACCCTGACTACTTAGATCAATAGATTACCATGTAAATAAAGAACTAAGCCACTTTCATCTGAGCAACACCAAGTACTCTGCTAGTTAGGAAGGAAACTAAAGAAATTTCATAGAGTGTTAGAGTTCAAGCAATCTAATTGACTTAAGAAATATATTGATCTAAATAAACAAATGAGTATTAAAGCTACTAATCATTTAGAAAAAGATGTTTATATTGTGAACCATGGTGTCTGTCCGAGCTTTCGTCTGTATACTGTTACAGTGGACGCTTCCCGCACTACGTTTGAAAAGCTGTGCATACAGGCAAAGCTCAATATTCGCGTTTGAAATGACGGGAGAACAGGTATGAATAATAATTATAGTATTTTGGCATTTGTGTATAAAGTTAAAATCATAAATAATTTTCAACGTTACTCTGGTACACAATAAATAAAATGTTTTTAATTGTGTACCAGTTTAACGTTGAAAATTATTTATGATTTTAGGTATGAATATTGTTGATGCCAAATTTTATTTCGCAAGCAGGATGTTATACACTAAACTGTTAGAAATTAATCACACTATCATTCACATTTCAAATGTGACGTAACTTAATGAATAAAAATGTAGATTTACCGTATGTTATTGTTGAGCAGTTCTTAGCATGACTGAAATGCTCGACAATTACTTTTTACATTGAATGGTATAAGTAGCTCAGAGCTTTGGCTCTGAGTAAAACCAAGAGTGTAAAATGCACCATAATTAACTTTTTAAAGTCCATGAAATAATTTAAATTTACAGACTAGCTCAAACATTTCCCGTCACTGGGGACAGGTACTTTTGTTTTTTGTTAAATAATTCAATAGTTGGAAAATATTAGAAAACGAGTTGATAAATGATTGTGTTCTAATCCAAATAAAGACGAAAAATTAAAGCTAAGCTAAACCAAAATGTAAGAACAATGTTTACAGGAACGTTATATATGCTATTAATACGAATAAAACAGAAATAATATTCAATAAACCAGTTTATGTTGGTATGAGCATTCTATATCTTTCGAAACATTGATATAGGATTTCTAGTATGAATTCGTGAAACCAAAGTATGATGAAGACTACAAATTATTATACCAGGATACTGATTCTTATATTTATGAAATATGAATAGATTACCTCTATAACGATATAAAACAAAACATTAATATATTTTGTACTTCAGGCTATTCAAACGAAAATTTTTATGGCATTCGGTTAGTAAGCAAAAAAGCTTTTGGTAAAATGATAGATGAGAATAATGGGAAAATAATGACTAAATTTGTATGGCTTAGATGTAAAATGTATGCTTAAAAATAAATAAAAGAAATTTAAGAAGTCTAAAGAAATGTGTTGCTAAAAATAGAATTACATTCGATGAATATAAATAATATTTATTTGGGCAGAGAGAAATATATAAAAACTACGAATCTATTAAGTTAAATGTATGAAATATATTCTATTGAAGTTAATAAGAAAGCCGTAAGGTCGAATGCTCATAAAAGATATATACATTACCATATACTATTAATGCTTTAGCATCAGGTCATTGGATCGGAAAATCATACA